AAAATCATTTTTTTTCCCCATGGCACGAAATAGCATCACTTTTCTCAAGCCCAAGGAAGGCAAGTACACTAAATTACTACAGTCATCTACTGATCACAAACATGTTAAACATTAAGTTTATGGGCATTTCTTATATTCTTATCTCTAAGGACACATGTCAAATTGGTAAGTGAATGAAACCACATTCTCTTTAAAAAGAAAACAAACTTATTTTAAAACAACCTAATTACACACTATTAACATACATGAAATGATGTGATACTATACATTTATATAAAACTGGTCATATTTAACATAATACAACATTTGAGATACTGGGTTCAGGTATCATAAGGGTCTCTTGGGTCAGTCAGTATACCAATCTGCTGCATTGTCTCGTCTTTACATTTGATGTTTTCTACGAACTATTTCACTATGTTTATATTACTGAAATAATGATTTCACGAGTGAAACAGATTTACTGGGATTAATACTCAATTTACGTTTGCATCAAATTAACACGCATCTGCAGAAATAGCTACACCACACAGTACTTTGTGATTAAAAAATGAATTTGTATATATATGTCTCGTTACATGGGTAAAAGTCAGCACCAATGACAGGTAAAATGTAAACGGTCTCTGTAACCTTTGTTTAGGTAATTGAAATGTCCTATAAACCTAGCGTTAAGCATGTTTTGTTTGGAATAAACCTGTGCCTATGTGAACTAGAAACCTAGTACCGATACTTTCTACATACCCTTGTATTAGCATCTAGAGCCCGTCCCTCCCTGAGATCCAAAACTAGTTCCTAGCTCAAATCATAAACTTGTTATATTTTTCTTCCATTTTCGGTTATTTCAAATTCATAAGCCTACATTCCCCAGCCCTAGCGGCGTTAGTGGTTATTACTGTTGGGCCGCTAATCACAAGAACAGCAGTTCAAAACCACCAGACATGCAGAATGAGAAAGAGGAGCCTTTCTACTCCGATAAAGTTAGTCTCAGAAACCCAGAGAGGCAGTTCTAACCTGCCCTATAGGATCTCTAAGCTGGAATCAACTCAAAGGCAGTGGGTTTTATGCCCGCTTCACTGCATAGCACCAGCCCACTGTGGAGGCTTCCTGGTAGCACAGTGGGCTAAACATTGGGCTGCTCCAGCTGGTTGATTTCCTTGGGCAGCCCACCTTTAGGTTTGAGGTTTTAACTTATTTTTCATTTGTCAAGTAAATCAAATGGGGTGGGGATGAGGGGGCAGATAAAGTATACTC